TCTTGACAATCAGCATGGTTGTAAACATCAACAAAGCAATACGGCTGCGGGGTGCAGAAATTTTGCCCTCGGTACCGTCAATCTCAGCACCAAGAACTGTAGCTGATGCCACCCTTCTTTGTTTTTTCCCAGGATGAGCCACTAGCTTAACATCTTGGTACGCACGTTCCGCTGCCGCAAAAACTTCAATGTCCCGCTGTGTGTCAATCAACTCACTGGTCGGCCATCGGGGCACCTTTTGTAAACCAATATGATCATCAATGGTAAGAAGTTCATAAAAAGGGCCTCGTGGTATGGTCTTTCGATACTGTAGTACCTCATGAGATAACATGCTCCCAGCTTTTGCCCGCAACAGGTTAAAATGACTTTGTTGTGCAATCTCAACCGCCAAAGAATCTCCCATTGCTAACGTAGCCAGACATATGTAAACAGAGGTATCAGCAAGTTCAGAAGAGTAGCAACTCAAATGGTTCAACTCCTTCCCCTTGAAAACCACTCCAATTGCATTGCGAGCTGCACGCTGCTCAGATACAACAAATGTATAGTAAAACTCGCAAAGGTCGTCAGAGGAAATAACCAGCTTCTCATCATCCCGTAAACGTATAGCCCCTGCCAAATGCCCTGGTGCCAGAGTCTTAGTAAACGAGTTACACCCAAAACACCGGGAAATAATAACAGTGGGATTAATTATAAGCCGATCATACTCCTCGTCCTTGCTGACTGCAAATAGCCCCACGCTTTCAGAGGGGTCAATCAAAGAAGTAGGGATCAATCTGCAAGCGCCCAAAGCATCCCATTTTGTAGCCAATCGGACAAGCTCCTGTCGAGAGCAATGCACTTTGGCCCGCCTCCGCACGGGCCAACTGGCTGCAGGCCGTCTCAATACGTTGGGATCTTGGAAAGCTTTCTTGACAACTGGATCTGACAAAAAAGGAGTAGGATCAAAAGAAGGCCCCAACTTCCATTTTATACGATCCGCCAACACCGGCTTGGCTGGACTTATATTCAAAAAGACCTGCTGGCCAAGTGAGCTGCTCTCCTTGTCGGGACTAGGAGAGGAAGACGCAAAAGAGCTCTGCTGTGGAAAAGCTGCTGGAATCTCACTACGCTTTGGCTGCCCATACGGATCCAAGGTGTGCTGAATGTCACTTAAAAAACTGCCAACATCAACATCATCAAAGGACGCAGTTGGAAGTTGAATTGCTGCACTACAAATTTTTGCTAACTTATCACCAGCCCGCCCAAGCTCGGCTCTACCAACATCGGGAGCAGCAAGGAAATGACTAATCAGGCCCTCTATCTGTTCCAACATGACAAATTGCTGAGGAGAAATAGGGGAGCCTAACCTAGCATGGCTTGGGGGACTTTTGCAGTGACCTAGAGACAACCAATTCAGGGCAACCACAATGGTTTGTAAAGCTTTCGCTCTTGCCTGGAGCCATCTCCGTCTGCGTCTCCGCTTTGGTGACAAATGAGCAGAGCCAGTCCATCGCCAGGCTGGTGGGGGACATGGCCAAAGATCAGCACTGCAGGCATCAATGCTGCACACACGGCGTGTCAGACTTCGCCGCAAAAACTCCGGAAAACCAGCATGACACTGAACAACCGAGGCTATGACGAAGTCTACAATTGCACTGCATCTAATTTCCTCAGGCAGCCGCTCACCAGTAATTGTCGGCGAGTCATCGTGGCAAGGCTTCAAACTGCTTGCCACTTCTGCCTTTGCACCCTCAGATCTGCCAACGCCAGCACCAGACTCTGAAAAAGAATCTCTCAAAACTTCAATTCCAGTGCCAGAAGTCAGCCCGCCCCTCAGGCAGTGGTTTCTCCTGTGGGCTGGACGGGCTCGCCCTTGCCCTTGCCTTTTGCTCTCTTCTTTGCATTGGGATTTCCCTTTGGCTCGCCGTCCTGGGGCTTCACATCTTTGAAGTCTTTTGCCTTGCCAGTTTGAAGAATCCTGCTCTCCATCACATCCATGTCCTTCAGATAGGAGACATTGGCTGCCACCCAGCTCGGGCTCGCCAAACGGGTCCATGGTTGCAGAGAAGTGCGCACACGATTGCGCGCCACCACGGCATAGTTTGGCTCTGGAATGCCCAGAAGTAACCATGCTAGACCGGTCTTCCCTCCATCCAGGCTTGCCTGTTCCACAAACATCATCCCTTTCACTGCAAAACCTTGCAGCTCGCGATTGCCGCTGCGAGCTCCCGCTTCGAAGGCATGGCTCATGATGTAGCCAAACTGAGTCAGCAGTCTGTGATCCCCTAATGGGATTCTGCGCTCCAGATAATCTTGAAGGAGACCGGGAGTCACCTGCGCAGTTTGCAACCCAAGATCCAGCGCTGCGTTCTGCTCTCCCACCGAAGCCAGCTTCACCAGATCTGCTGAAATCTTCACATAGGCCTCTCGAGCTAAACAGCCCTTTATACTGGTCCCTCCGCCACCCGAACTTCCCCCGTCGCTTCCGCTCAGAAGGGACTGGATGGGGTCGCTGCTCTGCTTGGCTTGCAACTGCTTTGTCAACAGTTGTACTTGCCGCATCTGCAGGGCTAGCAGTTTGTGGACCGGGTCCGTGGAAGCCGCCATGGCCTCTTCGAGCGCCTGCTCCATATCGTCGTCCTCGACAACCTCGAGCTGCTCCTCTTGAAGAGCTCCGACTTGAGGTAGAGCATGTGACGAGGCCAGGGCCCGCTCGTGAGCAGCAGTCTTGGGAGGCCCGGTTCCAGCAAGCGCGCGCATACGATCCAAAACGGTGGGAGCAGCCGCTGAAGCCCTCGGGGCTCCGGACAGCAAACCTCCGCCAAGAGTCCCAGGTGCAGGAGGTCGAGGAGGATGGGCCGCGGCGGCAGCCAACTGAGCTTCCAACTCCAAAACGCGATTCTGCAGCTGATCCACCACGCCGGCATCCACAGCACCGTCTGGCAAAGGCTCCCCATCGATCGTGGGGTCTGCAAACTCGTCTCCAGTGAAATACTCGGCGGCCGTCTCTGCGGCCATGGCTTCGGCGATCCAGGCATCTGCAGCTGCGATCACGCTGTCCAGCATGGGGGCAGCCCCTGACGCACCAAGCTTGAACTTCACCAAGGTCCTTGCAGCCTCGCCTCGCAAAGCAGTCACCTTGGAGAAGTCCTCCAAAGCATCCCAGTCTGAGTCTACCAAAACGGCCTCGACCTCGGCAGTGTTGCGGCCTCGATTGGCCCCAATGGTGATCATGCACACTTGCTGAGCATACCGCAGAGGCGCCGCATCCAAAGCAGCCTGCACCTGCTCTTCGGCAGGCAAGCAAACCATGAAACCGCCTGGACGACATCTGATCACAAAGGCAAGCGCAGTAATCGGAGCAGCACCCTCCGCAGCAGGAGGAGCAAAGAAAATTGAGGCTAATTTTCCAGGGTCTGTCGCCTCAAGCAGAGACCTGATAGCTTCCTCACTCAGGTTTCCCCTTCGTACCGGGGCGGCCATGCCTCACCGGCCCCAATGAGATACGCCTCAACTTCAGCACGCGATGGGAAAGCGTGACTGACACTGTCTGGATGAAAAAGATCCAAGCCCACTCCACGCACTCGCAACCGGTAAGCTCGATAAGAGCAAGTCCAGCCAGCCGAGTGAGAAGGAGCAGCCCGCAGCACCACGTAGTAGTTGTTGCCAAGGCCAACTGAAGGAGATGGCACTACAGCACCCACTTCCAAGTCCAGACGCTGGCGAGCAGAAACACCTGCCCGCAGAGCCCTAGTCACTCGAGCACGTGGAGTCCACTCAGATGATGCTGACCGCAAAGCCGCAGCCAAATGATCCACTGGGGCGAAATCCACTTCACAAAGTGCAGCAGGCGTAGAGGCTTGCAGCAGCTGAACTCTCCAAGCAGACGTCCAAGGTTCAGGTGGACTCGTTCCTAACACTGCAGTAGTACTAGCAGATGACCTAGGAAGTGAGCTGACGACCTGAGGCCTCAAGGGCCCTGCAAGGGGTACACGTTGAGGAGAATCCCCGGCACTGACCGAACTTGCAGGGGCTACAGAAACAGGAGGTGAACTGGTGGTGGATCCAACAGAGATAGTCAAATTCCCCAACTGGAACACAATTTCTTCAACCCCTGTCTGAGTCTCCTCTTCGCTCATTCACCGGTGCGATACCCACTCAATCGCCTCTGCAAATCACGAGAGGGCACCACTTGCTGAATCGGGTTGAGGAGAGTGATCGCACCTTGCAGCACCAACACGACTAAGCGCCTGCAGCTAGGAGACAGGCACAGAACCGCAGCAGCCACCCCAGTTATCAAGCCTGCAACCCAGCACAGGATGCAGCTCAAGAGCAAAAGAGGAAAGCTTATGGCACAGTCCCCACCGCTAGTAAACCACCTAAGTTCAGAGAGGACCTCAGGCAACCAAGCCCGCATGGGCACTTGACCCGAAAGATGCTTGAGGACAAAGACGCTTCCATGCACATGTGATAGTTCCATATCATATCATAATATCTCTATCTACTATTTCAAGCATCCCCTAAAGATGTTCGTTTGATCCTCCAAAACATAGATCCAGAAATGATGCCCCATGACTTTTTCCATGTTAGATGGTCAAAAGCTGTAGGGCATAAAGTGGCTGGAGCAATTGACACACTGACACTTGCGTATCTCAGCCCGTGCTTGCACAGCGAGGAATGGTTTAGATTTTAGATGCAATAGATACCAGCACCTGCAGTTGTCATAGGAATATAGAGAAGGTCGAAGAAGAAGAAGAAGAAGAAAAAGAAGAAGAAGAACAAAGTCCTCTAAGTCGTACACATGTGCTGCACAACCAAAGTTGATCTCGAACAGAAGAAACGTGCATGCTTCAACTTATACTGGTCTCTTGCTTTGGGAATTTCAAGAAGAATCAGGAAGAGACTGCCCCTGCAGTCCTCTAAAGTCTCAAGGCAACCTCAAGAGTTCCCTACATTCTACATGTCCAAGTTGGGGTTGCAGTATGGGGTGACTTGTAACCGCCATCATAAAGCCCAGTGACACAGACTTGTATATGTGGGCTTTCTCTTCCTTAGCGTGTTTCCGAGCGACCATACCCGGATGCGACGGTGAGGATTTCTATAGGATAGGATGGATAGGGGGTCCCAACATGTCTGGAAACACAGCATCGGAACTGGCTGGTCATATGTTGCAGTCGATGGATTCACGCTATCCAACCCAACATGGATCTTGGCAAAATGAAGTAGTCACCAACTTGAAATAAACAGGTGATTGGCTTAGACTCAGATTCTACATCCAGGGACATCTATAGCATTTGTTGGGGGAATGCAGATAAAAATGAACCACCAACAGGAGCTATTGGCAACACACATAGGAATGTAAATCAGGCTGAGGGAACTTGGATGGTCACGCCATTACGCCATTGGTTTTTGGGGCGAGCTTTGAATTGCTTCCTGGCAAAGCACAGCTTCCCCAACATCTATTACTGGTTGGTGGTTTCAACCATCTTGAAAAATATGAAAGTCAATGGGAAGGATTATCCCATATATTATGGAAAAATAAAAAATGTTCCAAACCACCAACTAAATATTTTATCTACCTGTTCTGAATCATACAGTATCGGCCCAGTATCGGCATGGCAAGTTGATCCAAGTTTAGTTGCTGTCACTAACTTGTCATAACTTGTCATTGAATCCAGATGTTCATATTAGACAACCGAAACGAGATGATAGAATCGCATGTTCAGATGACCAACCAATGACAATCAGCCCATTTCCCATAGGATCCATGTATGCTATATATGGTAACATTTACCATCAATATACCCCAAATGTTAGCATATATACCATACATGGATCCTATGGGTTTCTGAACCATGCCCAGCTATGTTGCCTCCTCGGTTGGCCCTACCCATCTCCATTTCGAAATCGCCAAGGCTCCAACGATGGCATAGACCACCTTCCTAGAAGATGGGGATTCACCGACAAAGAAAAAACAAACACAATCTTCTAGCTGGGTAGAGAATAAAACTATAGCAATATTGCTCCCAATTAACAAGCAAAAATGAAGTCATCTATCTGTTGAAAGTATCATGATCAATTTACAGCCAAACATTAAAATATATATATATATATAATTTATATAATGAATATATAATATGAGGTCATCCAGCGGCCCCAGGTTTAGATCCATAATCCATCCTGGAATCCTCGAGAAATTCCAGGTGAACTTACCGTACAACTAGTGATGCGACCCCTCTGATGTTAGTTGGTTTCTAATCCTTACTAGCAACTACTTCGATATATCTACCATCAACCCTTATAAGTTAATTCTTGGAGTTGTATAATTAATGGCACTATAACTTAGCAAACTGACAGCATCCCAACAAACAAACCCATAAAACCATCCCATGAACATCCCATCCCAACAATCTCCCCAGGTTTGATCCCCACCGAAGGCGCCTGGCGAAGAGGCTCTGCCTCTGCGCTCCGATGGCCGACTGGTCCACCAGGTCCTGCCGTTGCTGCCGTTCCGCCTCGGCGCGGCCGTGCAGGCGCTGCACGTGCGGCGGAAAGCGCCAGGGCCTGGGACGACTGGTCAAGGCCGGGCCCTTTGGGGCCGGGGGGGTCTGAAAGATGGGGGAAATCCCTTATACAGATGTTGTGATGAAGGGGGTTAGTCTCATTGGAAATCATTGAGAAATAGTTAGGAATAGTTATTCTTACTTTAAAGAAATGATATGAATTTTTTGACAATTCTAAAATGCCAATAATAAATTACATAATTAAGTATTATGGGGAATACTCTGTAATAATGGTGATTATTTGTGATATAAGACCCGCACAAATGGCAATATTATAATACTTGGTGACTATAAGTGATAAAAGAATTGGTTTGGGGTCCAATTTTAAGAATCTACCCCAATTTTAGAGGAAGGATTTATTTCATAATTCAAATATGGATCTTATGTTTGGAAAATCCCATTCCGTCCACTGGGTAATCATCTCCCCATCAAAATTGACACAAACTGGGTGTTAAATCCTTCATCTTCAGACACATCCAAAAATATCCAAATATCACATCATGTTTTTAAAGTTCGTTTTGCATGACCCATCCAAAAAATATCGCCAGAAACAATCACCACAAAACATCCCAATGTTCACGCTTAAATCCCAATTTTGTCTGGTTGAATCATCATACAATGCGTGTGTTCATCATCTTCATCCCCCAAAAATCCCATCAAGTTGCCAAGTTATAATTTATATATATTTATATACACATATTAATATCACATTAATTAATCAATTGCAATTGCCATCTACCATCACGACCCCTCCCATAGTTACCCATAGCATTACAACCACAATACCCCAGTTGCTTCGAGCCTCAGCAGCACCTCATCAAAGGTCCCCTGCAACTGATCCAACGGGGCCCCTGCGGCTCCAAGCGCCGAGACGGCGCTCGCGAGGTGGCGTAGCTGGGGGACCTGCGAGATGGAGAGGTCTCTAAGGCTTTAAGCTACGGAAAACCCATGATTTTTGATAGGTTATCTATAATTTGTCGGGATCATTTTAGCTAAGTTTACTGGAGGGTATATGGGAATTATTCTAGGATTGACATTTTTGGGATGATTGTTGGGATATTATATTGCTCTTGCGATCATGACTAGACCATGTGGAAAAAACTTCTTTACCAGGAACAAAACCTGGTAGGAGAAATTACTCTGACCATCAGGATTATCATTGGGACGATCACGGGAATAGACCGACCAATAGATGGGTTAAGCATCAAGAATTTGGGGGTCAATCTTCAAAAACCAAGGACATGGTTAGTAAATGGATTGATTTTCTTGGAAAAGAGAACACATCAGGGTGTGAATAACCGATGTTGGGGGTTCCTGCATAAATTGCTTAAAGCAGTGAAGTCGAAGTGGAGTTGTGTTGGGAGATGAACTTTCGGACATGATCTTTTTGGGGATGTGAAGATATGAACCAATCAAACACATATAATTTTGTGACTAGCCTCTGGTAATGACTAACATAGCTATTGAAAATGGCTCATTAACAGTTGATTTACCTATTCCACATTGATTTTCAATAGCTATTGTGATGTGACATACAAAACAACAAAATATTCAGGATCTTCGGCAGTGGTCAGGAACACAAACTAGTTTGTTGGAGCAACACACCAATAAATCAAGGGACTCGAACATACCACCGAAGCCAAAAAGGATCTTCCCACCTTCCATTTCAGCGCTGCAAGGGTCATCTGCGCACAGCAAACTCCATGGCGACTAAAGCTGCAGTTCTCAATTGGGGGTCTGTTGAAATATGTTGAAATGAAGGATCCCCAAAGCTATGGGTTTCAAATTTGCCAAAATGTGGATGATTTTTCCAAAATTGTCCAAATTTTCCAGAAATGATGGGATTTTTTGGATGATTTGGGGGTCCCATGACTTTTCGGAAACCTCCAGTTGAATCCCCGGGCAAGTTTTTGTGCCCATGAAACAGATGGGGAAGATAACCTGACAAACGGGTACCCCTATCCAGATGGAAAGCTTCCGATTTTTTCTGTTGGGTGAATCGGAAGTAAAACTATCAATCTGTCCTGCTTAAATCCAAATGTTCACTGCTTGAATCAGTATTTTCTCATTTTTTAAGTCATTTCTTTGCTGGTTAGGCCTGGAATCTCCATTTTTACTTTGCCTCAAGCTGAATCCTACCAGCTTGTGGGATAGCCACTGCCGCCCCTTTTTTAGACTTGTAGAGGTATGATTTTTATCCCAGCCGACCAATGTTAGATTCTCTGAAATCACCCACTTGTTCCACCACCAAACACTTTAATATCGATCCGGGACAAAATCGGGTTAGAATGGGGGATGGGAACGGATGTCTCGCTCATCTTCGCCAGAATGTCTCCCATCCACATTGTCCCAGGGTCCCATATCAACATGACATCCGGTGCGGCGCTGAGGTCATTCCAAAAGAATCCAACAACGGGATATGTCTGATGATCACCCCAATTCAAGTACCATGGCTGATGGATTGAAAATACATTTCTGGTGGTTGAGCCACCCCTCTGAAAAATATGAGTTCGTCAGCTGGGATGATTATTTCCAATATATGGACACATAAAAAAATGTTCCAAACCACCAACCAGGAAAATACATTTTATGACCTTTTCAGTTTATGTTTGAAACCATCAACCAGTTGTGTGTATATTCTCTATGCGGACAACATTTTCTGCCTTCACAGATGAGACGACTCATGTAAAACAAGGCTATCGGTAGGTCATCCCCGGGTAATGAAGGGTTCGCACCCCTCGGTAAAAGCAAAGAAAAACTCCATGAAAATCAGTATCAGCATATCAACATATTTTGGTTTATCGATTACTCATGCATAATCACAATAAGTATCAATAAGTCACAATATAATATACACACACACCCTTTCAACGCAATAGTTGTAGCAAGATTCATTCAACTTGTTCACCGCCACTGTCGACCACACGACTGCAATCAGCTCACCTCAAATTGCGAGGCTCTTTCAGCAGCAACAGGAATTGCGACCGAACCAATAGAATCACCCAATCAATTTATTAGTATTAATTGGGATATAGTTGGATTATAACATGATATATCAATGAGATAACTGGATAAGGAAGCTAGAGTATGAGATGGGTTTGTCAAAAAACGGGGGCATGTCAATATCCCACATTAGAATGATGATCATCAACCACTGAGTGACTGGAAAACGGGGGTACCTGGCTACCTACAGCGAACAGTTCCTTTGTGCGTCCCATTGCTGGGGGATTGGATCCATGGTGATGGTGTTTACTAGTCGAATCATCAAAAGAACATGACAATTCGATACAAAAAACGTAGATACCTGGTTGGTGGTGCAATTTCACCATCTTGAAAAATCATGGAGTTAAAGTCAGTTGGGATGATTATTCCATACCCATAGGATCCATGTATGGTATATATGCTAACATTGGGGGTATATTGATGGTAAATGTTACCATATATACTATACATGGATCCTATGGGATATATTATGGAATATGACAAATATATACAAATATTTGAAACCACCAACCAGATACAATCCATCCAAGACTTGACGATATATATATATATATTTCTGCAGTTGAGCGACAACAAATGCCGATGGATGCCACCAAATAGTGAAGGCGCTTCACAAATTTCTGGCGGATATGGCCCAGCCCATGACGATTGTGGGGCTGATGACTAACAGGGCTAGCCATGGTATATATAGATGGCCCTAATCGAAATAGATGGTTTACCTTTACCTATTTAAAATGGTGATTTCCCATGGCGAACTGGTAAATAACCAGATAGTATACAAAACATCAACTCCATGGTCTCCATGCTACTGTATCTAACGTAGCTTCAACCATTGACTCCCCAGTTCCACATCAAGTTTTGAATACATGACTCTGGGAGTGTGCGTATAGCGCAGTGTCTTCCTGGCATTTCGAGCCTCACGAGGGCTGTCATCTTTCTCTAGCTTTGGAGCCGCAAAGAAACCCAACGGAACAATGGCGCCCGCGAGCCTCGTTGGAGGTGAAGGTGAGGCCGGAAAATTCACCATTTATAGATGGTTTTTCTAATCACAGCATCCAATCGGATAGAGGATTTTTCCACATTAACATGCACTGACTATAGATGTTGTTTCCAATCACTCACATTTTTCCACATCTACAGAATTACAATTCGGAATTCGGAGATGTCATGTGAGTTTCAATTGCCAACGCTTGAGTCTTGAAGGGATTTCTATACGCTAACCGTGTGTTGAAAGCCGCCCAGGTGTTGATGGCTATGGTCTGGATTGGTATATGCCAATCACCTCTATCAGGGGAAAACGGTCAACTTGCCATTGGCGATGTTCCTATTGAGGCTAAGAATTATCGAAATGACAATGGCATGTCAACCCCGGATGAATAAGCCAATTGGTTATATAATATATATATATATATGTGTGGGGTATCTCCCTTGTGGATATCATATTAGCATGAAAATGAAGTGGGTATCATTTTAGCACGCCATCACTATTTGGGGATATCTCCAAATAGTAGCAGTCATCAATCGTCGGACATCGTCATGCAATACTTGGTGGTTTCTTACGAGGAGAGTTTTTTTTCCAGCTATGCTTGTTGATTGACAAGCTCAGTGAACTTTTCGTTATACCCTCTGGTAAACAAACAGTTTGCCATTGAAAATGGCCATAGAAATAGTTGATTTACCCAGCTATAAAATGGTGATTTTCCATACTTATGTGACTGTTTACCAGAGGGTATCCCCCTAATCAACCCCAAATGTTAAGCAAGTTATGTGCGTCAACTTAGCTATCGTAAACGGGGGCCGTAATACCTTGTATGCTTCTGACTTCCTCTGGAGGATCCATGATCAAGCACAGTTGCTGCTGATGTGGCTCCGCTATCTATGTCCTGGGATTGTTTTCAGAACGGGTGAACTTTACAAGGTCTGGAACGTGCTGGAATGTGCCGCTCAACAAAAAAAACAACGAAGGTGTTTCTTCCTGGAAATATGATGATTGAGTTACTCCCAAATCCACTGGCTTATCATCAGTTTCCCTATTTTAACATACTATAAACATGCGAAAATAGGGAAACTGATGATAAACACATGTAAATCATATTAAAACCCATGTAAATCATATAAATCATAGGTTTTCCTATTTTCAAACACGCTCAAATCTGCTTCTGTCGGGCCATAGTTGAAGAATACCACTAGTCAAGTGCTTCATCGGCAAAACAACGTCTATTGGATCATGACAATCCCCACTGTGTTCATCGTAGTATGATCCCATATAAACACCAACCAACCAACCAACCAACCAACCAGGGTTTGGCAGCCGCTCAGTTAACCCTTTGCCAAATGTCCGAGACACAACGCCGCCGGGGCTCTCATGTTATCAAACCTGGGGGTATTGCAGGGATCGTCCAACCGCCGAGTCATCAAACCGCCATTTGCAAGGTTAAGCCAGGGGACCGTAAGTTATCATATAAGATTGACAAAGGGACCGTTGATTTCTGTGGAAAGCAATAGTTTTGGGGTACCACACATTTAAGCGGACTTTTGCATGTGCGTTTTTTCTGGAGCCTCTCATTTGCATGGGATTTGTGCAGCACTATTTAAAGCCTCTGTGCCTCGATGTGCAGGTTATTTCCAGCATGTTGGGGCAAGAAGCTTTACTTTGCGTGGTATTTGCAACATGCTTTATATACATGGAATCATCTGTTTGCATAGCATGCTGACATTTGGGAACCACTGAATGTGGAAGCTACAATTATGTTCAATGGCCATGTTCATGAGACTACCCTTCCGTAATTTAACAAAGCTATGGAAATTGGCCCATTTATAGAATGATTTATATACGTAGATTGTGTTTTCACATGGCCATGCTAAATTACCAGAGGGTACGTCTGATATGATTATATCATCAGTTATATTTAAATGATAACAACTCATCTATAATATTCAATAATATAATCATCTGATATGATTATAATCATTTATCATCTATGATATTATCATCTATGATATAATCATCTATGATATGGATATGGGTCAAAACCCTATACCCCTGTAGTTCACACCAAAATAGCTGGGATTTATGGATGTTCATCCCTATAAATGGTATCTCTAGGGATTGATCCATAGCCATTTAGGCTTCACAGCATGGGGCAACAAGGGAGCAGGGGACCATAGGGGACCACAGTTGAACAGGACCACAGGCCCTATCTGAGAGCTGTAGAAGTTTATGGTGTTACATACATCGGCTACAAATGTCTACACATGACGCAAATGACAACTATGTGTATATATATAATATACTGTATTATAATGTAATATAATATAATATAATATTGGCACTATTTCATTCACGTTCACTTCCACCCTCAGGAACACCATATCACATGAATAGATTGGACCATTCATCCATGGGCTCACGACAACAAGAATCACCTGGCGCCATAGTGCAGGGTCTAATCTCAACATCTCAAAAGTTTTCAGTTTTAAGGGGTCTAAGACCTATTTGCCCTCTGGTTATTGAACACACTATGACTAACATAGCCATGGTTTTTCGATGGCCCATAGAAATAGATGGTTTACCGAACTTAATAGCATGGTGATTTTCCATGGCAAACCGTTAAATAAGCAGATGGTAACCACCATTCCAACTACGTTCAACTCGCCCAAACAGGAAATCCCCGCCATCTATACGGACCCTGTTGCTCCCGCCCGCTGAGAACCCCCCACATCCGCGCAGCTTGACCGCTGTAGTCCGCCAAACGCTGCGTGGGCGGTGACGTCAAGCGTCCTGTGGCACTGTGGATGGCGTCAAGTCCCTTAAGTTCAGATTGAAACTGATTACTGGGTGGTGGTTATTAGTCAGTTGGGAGTATTATTCACAATATATGGAAAAAAAAATGTTCCAAACCAGCAACCAAAATTATGGAATAGCATTACAATCTGCTTTGGATTGTATAAATTGGATGTCTCTGTAGTTGTTGGCTTATGAATTTTCCTTGGCGTCATCGTTACAAAAAAACGCTTGTTTCTTCCAAACGGCTGGCGTTAACTCCAATATCTTGCTGCAGCCAACCGGCGACTCGAACAGTAGATCAGCTGGTCAGGAAGCGTCAGCTGGTTCAACCATGTCCCTGCTGTTTGTTGAATTTGTCATCTTCAGCCACATTGTTTTATTAAAGAAACGTGTCCCAACATGAGCAAATCCATGATCCAAAGATAGCAATCCATTCTGAAATTGGTGATTGATAAACATATAGTGTTGTGGGTTTATATATGCATGTATATCCCTATGGATCCAAACACTGTCTAAGAAGGTACTTGGATCCATAGGGTATATATATATATAGATTATATTATATATTTTGTATTTATGTGTATATAATAGGGTTTTTCATCGTCACCATACTGCCTTTCTTTATGTTTCTGCCGCCAAATGGCCCCATGGCCCCTTGGCACCTCCACCTCCCAAGCGACCACGCTCGGAGACTGCGGCGGCGTGAACGCCGCACGGCTTAGGGAGGCTGTGGGGGTTCTCGGTGTTTCTAAGGGCCGGTGATGTTGGTTTGTCTGTAAACCAAAGATAGATATCTGCATATATATGCTATAGTTATATCATGTTATCTCATGTTATATCAAGTTCGCGTCAAGTGAGACTATGGAGCACCAGGTACCTGGCAGACCTTCATGGAACATAGATGAGACTGGAATATCACAACGACTGGAAAAGGTAATTCATGTCCGATGGTTTCTGGTAATTCATGGGAAATTGATGGGACAAATGATGGGAAAATGATGGAGTGAAAGTCAGTTGGGATGATGACATTCCCAATATATGGAAAAATAAAAACATGTTCCAAACCACCAACCAGAAAGGATTTGCAATGCATCCATCCTTTGCTTATCAGAGGTTGGCTGAACAACAAACGCATTTCGCTGACATTCATCCGGCAAGAAAAACGTGCCCTGAACTTGTCCCAAATCTAGATTTCCTCAAAACCGATTCTGTTCTACATTGCTACCATGTATAGAAGAGATAGAAAGAGTACAAAAGTATTATATATATATACACCTTTTCACCAGTCCTGGTGGATAATTGACCAAAAAGAACAATACCCACACAGCTAATGCAGGTGATACAATGACGTGCTGGGCCAGACCAATCAGACCAGCTATTCGCACCCAAATAGTTGGTAGAATTCCCCTTCCCATGGTCCCTTAAGTATTAGGTTCCTCCGAAAATAGAGTAGCCCCAACTTTGTTTGTGTATCATCTTTCCCCGTTAAAGCGGCTATTTGGGGGTGTATCCCTATTTACCCATACGTGTTTGACCCGTCCCAAGAAAGATGGAGTCAACGTATACGTGGGACGTCACGATTTTCCCAACTGTATACGGACAACAGGGCGGCCCCAATATCAAATTGGTTGTCACCAATATCTATCCAAGTATACACATACAAATCCACAACAGACTCTAGGTAGACCAATTCAAAAATCACCAACATAGCTAGGGGTCAGCACCTTCTAGATCAACTGCCGACGGTTGAAGATTTTCACATCCCATCACCACGCCTCGGAGACATCCAAATGGTCTCCATTTACGGTGCGACACCTGCGGGCAAAAGATTCGATGTTAGTTGCGTGGCCATAGAAAATGCCTTCCTAGACCTTCCAAAGTTCGAACAAATCTATACTTTCCCATAGGATCCATGGTGATGGTATATATGCTAACAGGGTATATTGATGGGATCCATGGAAAACCATATATAGCAGCACCATGGCCAGCAGTCGACGGCCTGGCAAACGCCTGAAAGAAAGGCCCAGGCTCCACCTTGGAAGATACCATGGTGATGGTTAATCATCTACCAATATCTGGTTGGTGATTTAATGGTGATTTAATGGTGACTTAATGATGATTAATGATGGTTAATAATGGCTGGTTGGTGGTTGAGCCCTACCCCTCTGAAAAAAGATGGAGTTAAAGTCAGTTGGGATGATGACATTCCCAATATATGGAAAAATAAAAAATGTTCCAAGCACCAACCAGAATAAAAACATGGCTGGGAAATTGAAATTCCCTTGAAGATCTTCATTCCCCGCCTGCCAGGTGAGGGTTGTTAGATTTTATCAGAGCGCTTGCCCGCCGCATCTTCCTCCTCCTCCTCCTCCTCCTCGTCCTCTTCCTCCTCGTCCTTCTCCTCGCCTCCTCCTCCAGTTTCTCCTGGTCCATGTCTGCATCAACTTCCACCTCCACTTCCGCCTTGCCAACTCTTCGCCAAGCTCTTCGCCAACTTCCGAGCTCAATGCGCACTGCTGGACCTCAACCTGGGACCTTCCCAGCTCAGTGCGCACTGCTGGACCTCAACCTGGGACCTTCCCAGCTCAGTGCGCACCGCTGGACCTCAACCTGGGACCTTCCCAGCTCAGTGCGCACTGCTGGACCTCAACCTGGGACCTTCCCAGCTCAGTGCGCACTGCTGGACCTCAACCTGGGACCTTCCCAGCTCAGTGCGCACCGCTGGACCTCAACCTGGGACCTTCCCAGCTCAGTGCGCACCGCTGGACCTCAACCTGGGACCTTCCTAGCTCAGTGCGCACCGCTGGACCTCAACCTGGGACCTTCCTAGCTCAGTGCGCACCGCTGGACCTCAACCTGGTGCCTTCCGAGCTCAGCGCGCACCGCTGGACCTCAAAAGCCAGATAGAATGCCAGAAGATATGCCAGATAGAATGTCAGATAGAATGCGAGAAGATATGCCAGATAAAATGCCAGAAGATATGCCAGATAGAATGCCAGAAGATATGCCAGATAGAATGCCAGAAGGTATGCCAGATAGAATGTCAGATAGAATGCCAGAAGGTATGCCAGATAAAGTGCCAGAATGTTTGCCAGATAGAACGCCAGAAGATTTGCCAGATAGAATGCCAGATAGACTGTCAGAAGATATGCCAGAAGATATGCTAGAAGATATGCCAGAACATATGCCACAACATATGCCAGGTAGAATGCCAGAAGATATACCAGATAAAATTCCATGAGATATGCCAGAGAGAATGTTAGAAGATATGCCAGATAGAATGCCAGAAGATATGCCAGATAGAATGTCAGATAGAATGCCAGAAGGTATGCCAGATAAAGTGCCAGAATGTTTGCCAGATAGAATGCCAGAAGATTTGTCAGATAGAATGCCAGATAGACTGTCAGAAGATATGCCAGAAGATATGCTAGATAGAGTGCCAGAACATATTGCAGAAGATATGCCAGGTAGAATGCCAGAAGATATGCCAGATAGAATGCCAGAAGATATGCCAGATAAAATGCCAGAAGATATGTCAGATAGAATGCCAGAAGATTTGCCAGTAACAAAACGTATAAATGTCATGGTGGGGATAATTCGAAGTAAAGTAATTGTGCCTGAGGTACCGATCTTGCAAAACTCTGTGCCTGTGAGCTGCCCGCTGAGTCAACTGAACATCTGCTGCAACCTGTTCTTGCAACTGCTGGAACTTTGCATTCCAAACAAGGCCCTCAGCTGCCTCTAGCCGACGTTCTTGCTCGACTTCTGCTGGCTCATCACTGCTCTTCAAGTCTGAAATCATCGAGGCATGGAAGTATACTGGATACCCCTGCGTTGCCTTGAGGATCTGTTCATCCAGTGCAATTCCCTCAAGCACGGCTGACTTCACATCAGCAGCGTCTTCATCGTCCACGTCCACCATGGTTGCCTCCATGGATCGGCACCAGAACTGAATCACAGCTCGATACTTGGCCACATCTTCCACAGTTGGCCGCAGCCGCAAATGTATTCAAAAACAACTACAAATTCTCCATGTCAAACCTGTACCTCTGTGATTGAAACTGGTATGTAGAGTCTTTTCCTATTGTTTAATTCCCCACCTGCCAGGTGAGGGTTGTTAGTTCCCCACCTGCCAGGTGAGGGTTGTTAGATTTTATCAGAGCTGTTCTCCTCCTCCTCCTCCTCGGCTAGCTCTTCTCCTCCTTCTCCTCCTCCGCCTCCTCCTCCACTTCGTCCTCCTCCTCCTCCGCCTCCTCCTCCAGTTTCTCCTCGACCATGTCTGCATCAACTTCCACCTCTACTTCTGCCTTGCCAACTCTTCGCCAAGCTCTTCGCCAACTTCCGAGCTCAGTGCGCACTGCTGGACCTCAACCTGGGACCTTCCCAGCTCAGTGTGCGCTGCTGGACCTCAACCTGGGACCTTCCCAGCTCAGTGTGCCCCGCTGGACCTCAACCTGGGACCTTCCCAGCTCAGTGTGCGCTGCTGGACCTCAACCTGGGACCTTCCCAGCTCAGTGTGCACCGCTGGACCTCAACCTGGGACCTTCCCAGCTCAGTGTGCACCGCTGGACCTCAACGGCCAGATAGAATGCCAGAAGATTTGTCAGATAGAATGCCAGATAGACTGTCAGAAGATATGCCAGAAGATATGCCAGATGGAATGCCAGATAGAATGCCAGAAGATATACCAGATAGAATGCCAGAAGGTATGCCAGATAAAATGCCATGAGATATGCCAGAGAGAATGTTAGAAGATATGCCAGATAGAATGCCAGAAGATATGCCAGATAGAATGCCAGAAGGTATGCCAGATAGAATGCCAGATAAAATGTCAGATAGAATGCCAGAAGATATGCCAGATAAAGTGCCAGAATGTTTGCCAAATAGAATGCCAGAAGATTTGCCAGATAGAATGCCAGAAGATATGCCAGATAGAATGCCAGAAGATATGCCAGAACATATGCCAGAAGATATGTCAGATAGAACGCCAGATATGTCAGATAGAATGCCAGAAGATATGCCAGAGATAGAATGCCACAAGATATGCCAGATAAAATGCCAGAAGGTATGCCAGATAAAGTGCCAGAATGTTTGCCAGATAGGATGCCAGAAGATTTGCCAGATAGAATGTCAGATAGAATGTCAGAAGATATGCCAGAAGATATGCCAGATAGAGTGCCAGAAGATATGTCAGAACATATGCCAGAAGATATGCTAGGTAGAATGCCAGAAGATATGCCAGAAGATATGCCAGATAGAATGCCAGAAGATATGCTAGATAAAATGCCAGAAGATACAGTATGTCAGGTAGAATGCCAGAAGATTTGCCAGTAACAAAACGTATAAATGTCATGGTGGGGAAACTCTAAGTAAAGTATTTTTTTTGCATTGAACTGGGAACATCATTCGTTCATTTCGGGATTTTCAAGGAAACCCTTTTTGAATAAAGCGTTTTATATCGAGAATGCCATGTAATAGCAACCCCTGCAGTGGAGAGAACAGTTGGCAACACGAAAAGTATTGGGGAAACATCATCTGAACATAAATTTCCTTGGACAATTTTAGAAGTCCAAATCTGTTACTTGTTTTATCTTCAAATACACCAAGCAGAATCTACAACTAGGATTTCAGGATGATAATCACTAGACACATCTACCAGATTCTAACAGCTACGATAGAAAGTGCTACCGCCAACAAACATAATTTTGAATGGGATGATCCATGATCACAACCCCATCCCTCCAATATTATGATATATGGACCCCTGCGACAAACAAAACTATATAAGATATTTGACAACCAACCAACAGTGTTGTCTCACCTCACCATGGGAAATGTGGGAAAGTTTTATCATGCATCGCAAACATATCACAAAAATAAAAAATGTAGGAAACTGTTGCGTTGGAAACCGTTGCTGCATTTGGTTTTAATGTTTTAATCCCGATCGCGTAGCTAGCACAAGTTCTGAGTTGCCCGCACCGAAAACCAAGGCGACCAAGAAGACGCGTCCACGCTTCATGGCACCTGTGCAGCTCTTACAACTTACGTTTTTGCTCCAAGCGAGCTTCAATGGTTCCTTCTAAGAAAAAAACACACATAACCACATTAATTACATTTAATTACTATTAAATATTATTAATCACCAATAATCACCATTAATTACCTACTCCTGGCTTTACAACCACATCACCACAAAATCGGATCAGAAGTGGCTCCCAGTGGGTTGTACCTACCTCTCCAACCAGCCCAACCGGCGGTTAGTCAACATGGTTCACCATGAAGATCCCTTCGTCACCACTGCGGGGCGATTCTTCACCATTCAAATATTCAACCCGTGATTCCTCACCAATTCAAGCACCGTTGCCCGCCGGATGTTGTTTCTGTGGTAAAACCATGTAAAACCCACTTATATTGTACAAAAAAGGCTGCAATTTTGGAGGTTTATACCATCCATTTCTGATGATCTTGGGGATGGTTTTAATGAAATTATGATCTTTCCTGAGATGATAATTTCAGGCGCCGATTCATCGCCTTTGGACGGACGCATGGCCGCCATGGCATCACTGGTGATCAACAAGTCCTATACTATATTTGGAAATTCCCTCAAGGCAGTTTCAGGTATATTCGGTTGATGGTTCCAAAAATGTTCCGTAAGTGGTGACTGAATCTGAGGATATCAAAGAAATAAAGAACAAGTGGAAGTTGATGGAAGTTGACTCACTTGACCTTGCTAAGAATCATCCGGCTGATCCACCAATCCCAGAATTGTCGACTTGGTGCACTTGCGGCCCGCTGCCGAGAATGTGGATCAAAGTTGACAAACGCAAACGCATTGAGATACACTTTAGGTTGGACAAAAATTGGATTCGCAAACAATGCCCGGGAGAGTAGTTGAACCCTAAAAACATTACCAGAGGAACATAGTGGAACTGTGATTCCACCATACTCTTCTGACTCATATCCAGGTTACCATTGCTCCGTTGTCCATGTTAAATGGGAAATTATAGGCTAGCTGGGGCTTATGGATGTTTTGGGGGGGTGAATGTTTGTAGATTTTCAACACATGGAAACATAACAACTGAATTATATATGGAAAAAGCATGGATCCATCGTTAAAATGTGAGAAACACAATAGCAAAACATCCCCAATTTTACCATAAATGATCATAAATGGCTGTTAAAAAACCATCAACATATGGCACGTGAATCCCTGCAGGATGGTCATGTCAGCAACGACCGGGTCGGCTCTTTTGGATGTGCATCCCGGGAATTGTTAAACAGTTGGATCACAATGAATGACACCTGTTATACTGGTTGGTGGTATACCTACCCCTCTGAAAATATTAGTCAGTTGGGATGATTATTCCCAATATATGGAAAAATAAAAAAATGTCCCAAACCACCAACCAGATATGTTATAATCTATAGTTAAACATGATCGTATCCCTACTTGTATGGTTGGTGGTTTCAACCCCCCGGTGAAAAACAAAACAAACACACCCGCTAGTAACTTCGTATCATCATCCCAGTTCAAGGGTTGAAACTGAAACATAGTTGAAACCCCAGTGAATATAGGCTTATAAACATTTTGGAGTCCATTTGCACCAGTTTTGCGATTTGGCATTCAACCTTGTAGCCTCTCAGAGATCAAGACCGGACACGGACCCAACCTTTTCCGAATGAATTGCGGCGAGGCGGCGATTCAAATGCATCCGAAACACGCCTACCTGGCCTACCTTTCAGAAAAACCGGTCCCAAGCTCCGCAACACGGGTTGATGCTCTCCGACTGACATTATCCTGATCGGAGATTGTTTTCGAACGATCATCATTCAATCATGTCTTCAACATCTAATCTCAACTTTAAGTTGCAGTTACAGTAAACGTCCAGTTTCAACAACATCAACAACATCAACAAACAAAATTCCAAAACAGCAACCCATCCCCAAAAACCAACAGCAGCAACCCACATCGAACATCAACGCGATCAACGCGACCCGCGGACGGACTGCTCCAGCAGAATGCACACATGACATTCCAAGGCTTCGCAACGCCCCACAGAGTCCAACTTTTCGTGGGTCCGGGCCTGGCGAGGCAGTTGGACAACATGGCGGATTTTTGTTGCGGATGTTTAACGGAAAAGACACGAGAAAATGTCGGGCTGGCTGGTGGTGCAATAACCATCTTGAAACATATATAAGTTAGTCAATGGGGAAGGATTATATATCCATATATATCCCATATGTGAAATGGAAAATAATCCGAATGTTTGAAACCACCAACCAGAGGGACATGTTTGACATGTTTGTCTCTTTTTACAATCTCTGGGATGTTGGAAGTTCCATGGGACATACCTTGGCAGCCTAGCGTCCTGCGCTATTGCCATTGATTGTTTTCCCGGGAATAAAAATACCCATAACTCCAAACAGTCTGCAAGATATCTGGTTTGATTTCAGCAATTCACGCAAAGGTTTGTCAATTTTTGAAGACTTCCCCCAATCTTTGAACATCTTTCCAGTGATGTCACAGTGAGGTCGATATCGTTCGGCCAGAACATATGGTTGTCAACCCATTGATAGCTGATTTGCATGTTCAAGTCGAGTCTAATGACCTGAAATACAATAGATTCAATGAAATTCACATCTTTCATAAAACATGGTTGTCAAGCTGGTGATACCTCATCTTGATAGCTGATCTCTATATGATGTCCTCCTTTCACAAACAATGGGAACAAAAACAACAATCATCAGGATAACCCCGCCATGACTGGAGAATACCTGGAGTCAAGATATTACCCCCATTTCAAAGAGCCCATGGAGCGAACGGCACAGTCTGAAACTCGCGCCTTCAGGTTCACACGTGCGGGGATGGTATCGCAAATCCGGATGATGTTGTTCTTCATGTCCTGGTCTGGGAAAGATCTTGGAACATAGGAGAAATGGGGGTGTCATGGGGTGTCCTAAAAATGGGAAATCCCCAAAATGGATTGTTTATGATGGAAAGTCCGATTAAAATTGATGATTTGGTGGTACCACCATTTTAGGAAACCTCCATATCTACTATTCTACTTTCCCAAAGAACGTGTTTGCAGAGTTGAAGGCTAATATCTCATTGACTGCGTTTTACAACCTAGATATTGCACTGCAGTTTCCTATCCCATATCCCTCGAACCACTTGTGTGACACATGGCCTTTACCATTTCACCTGGAACTGCAGCAAAATGTTTGAACATACCTGGATTGTTGACCCAGCAATTTCCCTTAAACCTGGAACATCGAGCACTCGGGGAACAATGCTAACCAACTGCAACTGTTGGATGTGCAACTGGGCATACGTTCTGGAACTGGGCGGTTTGGATATACCTCCTTGGTCCTTGATTCTCCTTTTATGGCTGCTCATCAAATGCTATTCAATCCCTATGCTTGAACACAAACGCTCGCCATCATCTTTCGTACTTAAAAGAAATCCCAAGGTCCCAATCTGGCAATGTTAAATTCCATTTTTACCGATTTAGCCAACAGTTCCTGTGTTCCAACATGTTTTTTTTCCATGAGTGACCCTCTAGCAAATTCCTTTCATAATACCCTCTGGTAAACTAACATAACTATGGAAAATCACCATTTTTAATGGGAAAACCCACTATAAATGGCAATTTTCAATAGCTAAATCATCCATTTTCCTTAGCAAACCGCCACAGGATCCCAGGGTCCCAGGGGATTTCAGATCGGATCGGTCCTCCTTCTTCCCCGCCAAACGTGGTTTCTCAGCGATGATCGTTACATCCTCAGGGGATGCCACTTTTCTTCCATGATGATGCTGGAATTTGATGAACAAATATATATTATAGATTATATATTTTATTATATATTATATATTAAATATTATATATTATATAATTATATATTATATATTATATATTATATATTACGTATTATATATCATATATAATATATTATATATTATACAGCGGTATATTATGATATATTTGACTCACTTCTGAGGTGATTTTCACCAAAGATAATGGACAAAAAAAAACGTGCAACTTCAAGTGGCCAATCTTTGAATTTGGTGCGGGCACTGATCAAGACATAACTTGGGATTGTTCAGCAACCAATTCGAACAGTTTTCCGGCAGCTGGAGTGTATCATGCAGACCCATCATGTTAGCGGTGGTTAATAGTGGTTAATAGATGTTGATAATGGTTAAAAACGTGGTCAGTGTCCGTAAAACAATGTCATTCATAAACCACCCATGACTGGGAATGGGATTTCCATGCCTCATACCACCTTTCAACATGTTGATGACTGACAGATGGCTGCTCCATGGACCATCCCGGGACGACCTGATGATGGTGGTTGCTAAAGTTCTAAGTGTTTTGACCATTTGGATCTGGTTGGTGATTAATGGTGATTAATGGTGATTTAATGATGGTTAATGATGGTTAATAATGATTAATGATGATTAATGATGGTCATCTGGTTGGTGGTTGAGCCACCCCTCTGAAAAATGATGGACTGAAAGTCAGTTGGGATGATGACATTCCCAAGATTTCTGGAAGCTCATAATCCAGCCATGTTCCAGTCACCACCAACCAGTGGATGTTTTTTTTTTCAGCATCTGCATCATGCCATCTGCGCCAAAGTATCAATGTTGCCGATTCGGTAGCCTCGGCTGTAGCGCCATGTTTCTGGTGATTCCTAGCCGTCCTAGCCCTGCTAGCCCTGCAGCAACAAGATCTAGACATGGAACAAAATAACTGTACAGTATACTGAACAATCAAAAAAAACATCATCAGTACTTCATAATAAATACACGTAAATATGATATATGAAAGGATCAACCATTGAAACCTATCAACACAATGTATAGTGATCGTAGTCATTATTGTAGTGACAATAATAGAAAGGATAAGTGACAATAACCAATAATATATATATATAATTATATATATATATAATTAAATATAATCAAAAAAATGAAACATGGAAAACGATGTATCGAAACAATGGATGCTCTTAGAAGACAATCGCGCGTAGCACAGTAATAGTAGACGCAACGCCCACCATTTGCCCCACAACTTACATGGGGTGGGGTGGGGTGGGGTGGGGATGTTAACGTTCCTTCAATCGCGTTCCTTCGACCTTCAACAAGATGTCTACAGTACAGATGTTGATGCTAGGCTCGCATGGGGTTGGGTGGGGTGGGGATGTTAACGTTCCTTCAACCGCGTTCCTTCGACCTTGAACAAAATGTCTACAGTACAGATGTTGATGCTACGCTCACATGGGGTGGGGTGGGGGTGACCTGGGAGTGCGTGTAAGTCACCACGTCCCACATTGTATGTTGTTGCTGCTGCTGCTGCTGATGGTGATGGTTCTGGTTCTGGTGATGGTGATGATGATGATGATGATGATTGTTAAACTCGATGTACTCTCGTTCTCTGTACCCTCAATCTCCAAGTAGCCAAACAGCTGTACTCTGCAGCTGTACCTTTTCACTGCACTGCTCAAGGGCCCTGTATGGAGCCGAGATGTAACGTGTCCATCATGTACTATTCA